TCTTGTACTGATGCCTTTGAGTCAATTTCCCAGTTCTCAGCTGGTGCTGCGGAGTTTATTGCCTGTATATCTGCCTTCCGTATGTTAGGACGGGCCGGCGCAACTGTTTGACAGGTAATCTCAGCCATGAATTTGAATAAAATGACTGCATGGTCAATTCTCCCTAGTGGTGGGAGAAAAGCCATTTGACCAACGTCATCATCGTGTGTGAAGAATAAATTTAAAAGAGAAGAAGGGTTTCTTAAGTCGTATCTTGTGGGGTCTCTAATGTGTTGGAATAATGCTGGTCCAATCGAGGTTTCTAACAGTTTGCAGTCGAACGACGATATCGATGACCCTACTTCTAAGTTAACCCAGTTTATATATGGTGCATTAAAGTCGCCTACTATAAGGCTTTTACCGTTGTTACACCAGGACCTAAGTTTACTTAGGAGAAAGTCATCTGCTACACATTCTGGACTGCGATATACTACAACCACTTCACTATCTTGCCGTCGGCATTTCAACTTACATTTCATCAGTTCACATGTCCCTGAAACATGTGCTAATGTCTCAGCTAATCTTATGGTTAGGGTACTTTTCGTGCACAGAATAACCCCGCCCCCCCCTTCGGTTTAATCTATCAGCCCTACTGGTTATGAAACCAGTCAACTGGATTTCACTATTTAATACTTATGACGTTAACCAAGTTTCCGAGACAGTGATAACGTCCGGTTTTTCTTTATCCACCACTGACTTGAGCTCCGCCATTTTATTGAGTAGGCTGCGAGCATTTGTGTAGCATACCTTTAAGTCTGTGGAGAGCTTTCCCTTGCCACCCAGAGTGGCTTAGGGATCGTTTTGCTCCGAACCCTTAAGAACGAGGTTTCTTTCACCGTTTTGGCGACGCTCATTTATTTCCGCTTCTGCAGCTCGTCTCTTAATACGATCAGCTAGGCTGAGATCCTCACGGACATATATTCCGGATCTGATCAGTTTACGTGAATTACTTAGAATCAGGTTCCTTTCTTCCACCGTGTTGAATGTAACCTTTAGGAGGCGGTTTTTCTGAGGACTTTTGGAGTCCACCTTTTCTCCTATTCTATAAAACTTACAAATACTAACTCCTGAAACTGTATCTGGAAGTAGTTTACTTAATGATGTCTTAATATGATTGAGATCGTTTTCAAATCTTGCCTTTGGTTCTGTATATGAAGATTCTCTTATCTTATGAAAAATGACTGATCTGTCAGAGAGATCTGTCTTGTCACGCAGTGAGGATCTTTCTTCTGATAACATCCCTCCCAATGCCTTGCTGACCAGCTGCGTTTCGCCTACAGCCTTTTTCTTCCCATTTCTTTTTCTCCTTACTGAAGTCCATTTGTCACCACCCAGAACAGGCACACCTGGACTATGTGGAACGGTGACAGTTTTATCCGGATCTTCTGTTTCGACTAGAGGTGTATGACTGCCGATGTCAATACCAAGCGACGCTTCATTCCTCGTTGATGTCAACGGAAATTTCACGTTCCCGTCAACCGCAGTTTAACGGGTCCAGTAGCAGCACTTACTACACTGACACATTCTCCACCGTCAGTGCTCTTGTTATCAGTGCTTCCGCCATCGTTTTTCTTGCAGGCCAATTAGTATCTTTTTATCCGTACAGCAGAACATACGAAACCAATGCGAGTTAGGCTTCAAGCATCTTTTGTAAGCCGTCGGACTTAGGCGTGTACACATTTTGTGGTGCCACTTTTCACAATCGTCACACTGCATTCCCTCCTCAACGGGGAACATACAATTTAGTTGCCCACATTTGTGAGTCTTGCCAACCATTGTAATTCGATTTAAAAGGTTTAAAAAACACAATGTGAACACAAGTGTTAGTCAAAAAGTAAAAAAGGTACTCGGGACAAAATTTAGCAAAAAATTTCAAACTTTAACCAAAGTACTTTTAGTTAAAGTAGACCAAGAATACTTTTTTGTGCAATAAGTACCCAAAGCAAGTATAATCACAACAAGTACAAAAACCACTGCATTTTTTGAAACTCACTTAAACCTGTGAAATTTGGGACGCCCTACCTGAGAACAGATCATCAGTTCGATCAGTAATTATTTCCGAGTTACCTGAAAAATAAAAACCACCGTTTTGGGGTCATGATCTAAAGCGGCATCCAAGATGTTTTATTCCAAGATTCCTGTCAAAACATTTCTATGTGATGTAACGGATGTTATACTTTCTTGCATATATTACGAAAAAACCTTGATAAGACTAATCATGTCAGAACTGGGATTCACGACTTAAAATAGAGAATCAAATAAACACTGCACAATACTTTGCTGAAAGCAATCACATTCAGTGAGTTCGTAGTAGAAATCAATTACAAGAAAGGAAATCACACACTCAATAGTACCTGGGCTCTCTGTTTGTCCACGTTAAGCGACCACCACCACACAATATGATAAATCGTCCCACAACTAGTTCTCCTCGTTATCTATAAAAGTGGTTCGGACTATTTCATACGTTTCACCCCCACCTTTTTGTTCGAAACCACTGCTTTTCCTGTGGATATAACGTTCTTATTGATTCTTTCAATAAAATTGATGTGGATTTACGAGGATGTAATGGTTGGTGAAATCCGAGATAAGAATATGACTATCAGTGTTTGTTATAACGCTCGGTTTTACTTCGTCTAATGTTAAAACGGTTGGGTTTTCACGCTTACACTTATGGGTCGTTAATTCACCTTGAACGATTATCTACACTAGATTCCCTCCCAGTGTCTATTCTACAGGACTTCAACACAACTCAGATCAAGAACACATGATTAGCCTGACCACAACGTAAATATATTTCCACACCAAAAACCCGACACAATCCAACAACAATGAACAATCAATAATGAATAACCAATAATAATAAGGATAGGGGAATATATGACACATCTGACACCTGTCAGACTATCTACATGTCTTACTAAGCAGACAACCAATCATTATCATTCTCGCCCACACATCAGTGTTCCGCGTCTGTCAATACTTTACAGGTTATTTACTATCATTAGGTGAAATGAAGGGGATCAGGTCATCCCAAGTCACTCAGTTCATATTCAGGACCGAACATTATCCATTGATATTCGTCTGTGAAGTAGGTATGATGGCTCGACTAGTTTGACCTGAGTTGATAATACGTGGTTATTTTTCAAAAAGTCAGAATCCTATATATTAATTCCGAAGTTGTGACAAGACTCATGACAGAATTGCAACTACTTTTGTTACGTTAACCAACCACTGTAGCCGACTGAAGTAAAGTGGACCAATCTTCCTAAGTCCAACCACATTAACCTTATTTAGAAACATATTTCCCAAGGGGATAAATAGAAACACTATCATATTGTCTAAGAAATCAAATTTAGGTACATATGTTTTGCAGAAAAAAATCTGAAGCACAAGACTTAACAGATATAAACGATACATCGCACAGGTCCTTCTTGTCTCTCCTACACAAGTTGAACCATTAGTTAGCTTCTTTCGGAAGCATAAACAAGTAACAAACCCAAATTTTTCTAAACTAACACTTCCTCAGATCATATCAAATTCACTTTTGAAATGAACTTTATGGACTATCATGTTAAGACTGAAGTTTTGAACTAACCATCCATCGCAAGCCGACACTCGAATAATTACTTTAATTTCAGCTTACACACCCACTTAGTGTGAAAATTTTCGCTCTAAATTTATTCAGATGAGGCACTATAATCGTAACATCAGCTGAGAAGGAAAACAATTAGCAAACTCCAGCTAAGTAACTTTACCCTGAATATTACTAAAAAAATTACATAACTATTACATTACTGACCGATCATATTTTTAGTTCCTTCTCTTTTTTTTATATATAATGCAACGTAGCACCTGTTTGATTTTCGAATAACTACTCTAATTATTATTAATCCTCTTTCTTTCAATTACTCAATATTAATGTATAATCGATGTCATTATATAATTATTACGTAACGTATCTACTCGATGAGTATTATTTCATTATTGTAAAACACATAATAATAAATTGAATGAAATATCACGGGCTGGTACTGCAGTTCTACAATACCTTTATGACACAACAGACGAGCCATAACGAATCCTTAATCCCATAAAACGACCAACACTTCGAAATGCTTTAGTTGAAATAAAGGTTAAAATCCCTACCATTTCGACACAGCGTTACGGATTGTTATGAATTCTATATTGCAGAGTCTTGATGTGAAATCATGACTTATGCCACAGAACATCTAAGCTACACAAAGAGAACCCCAGGTAACCCTTTAGAACCATAAAATCAACAAAACAAATCAGCAATAACAGTAAACGCCGTTCTATCAACCATAAAATCCTTATTTATGCCAAATTAATTCGAATATGATTTTTCATTTATACAAAAAAACCAGTGGCCGGTTGTTTGTATAGCTAAACCCTACAGCGCTTGATAGAAAGGAAGGCCGAATGACCTATTTAATATGGATCATTTATACAATGTCTACACATATTTAATCCTGTTCACATCTCATACCACTAACAAACATACAAATATCTTTCACATCACTCTTCCAGATTATAATAATTGCATTTGACAAACCCAACAACAGATACAAGTAAGTCTCAGACAAAAAACCATTTTGGCCAAATTGTCATGTCATTAACATCATCAGGCAAATCATAATTTCGATCACACCAAAAATAGTCAACTTCGACTATTTTTTTCATTCTCTGAAGGAGGAGCATACACAATAAACAGTTATTAAAGCAAAATCATAAAAGTCATAAGATCGTTCATGATTGATTCGATCAGAAAACAAAAAGATACTAATAACAACAATAATAAAAAATGAAGTGATAATAACACAATAAGAATTATTTTGAGGGAACTACATAACAAATGAAAGATAAGTGTTTTAAAAAAAGTCAAAAGACACGCTTAGTTTCTATTGTTTCATTGTTGTTTTCTTTTATTTTCTGATAGTATCTTATTCCGCTGAAATACCCAAACTAATACGTACACTCCGGAGTGCTAGACTATTGAAACGCGCTTTATCTTCACGCCATGTTTTTGCTGCATCCACATTAGCCGCACTCTCATCATTCGGTTCTAAAAAGTAATAATTGGTTTTAGAAAAAAAACGAAGAATGAGGATATTTTTTAGCCAAGTTATGATATGAATTATTTGCTAAGTATACTCTTTACAAGGGTGATGATGCTAGTAACACAATTTAACTGCTTAGACTAACGCAAGTAAAGAGTTTGAACCTTTGGTCTGTTAGTCAAAACGCGCGTCCTTGAACGATGAAGACGAGAAAAATAACTTGCCATTGTTGGGTCACAGGTCTGAACCGCATCGAGCAGCATCACTACCCCATATACTAAAATTAATTGTGTCTTAAAGCTGAACTCATAAACCTGTACTAGGAAAACCAGTTACGGTAATTACCGGAAAATTGCATAGTGAACTGATAATCGTTAGGTGCGGAAATCCATTAGTTCCTATGGAACTGATTTGTAACTAATAAAAATTGCAGTGTAAATACGAGCTCAAGATACAAAATTGTTATCATTCTTTAAGCCTTGGAAATCAATTATGTGAAAATCAGCGCTAACTGTCATCTTCAATTAAACGAAGAAAACCTTTATTATCAATAACCTTATCTTAAGTCTCATAATAATGAAAAGTTGAACAGTAGTGCCGCAATAACTCAATTACCTAATCTAGTCAGTAATCAACTGCGAATGTGGTACAAGGAGTTCACAGACTTTTATTTCTTTTTGATCTAACCGAATTTTCAAGAAACCTGTTTTGACTAAATCTAACCCTCAATGATTACGCAAGTATATATCCATTGATGTTAATGATCATACTATCACTCTGCAGTTGGACACTGCATCCGATATTACTTTGATTTCTCGAAAAACTTGGCACAAATTTGGTCGGCCAAGCATTCATCTTACTACCAGCTGCATAAAGAATGTATCGGGTATTTCAATTCGCATATTTGGAATTATCAAATGTACTGCCAAATCTCATGATCTAATAATCAAATCCAAATTTTATGTAAGTGATGAACACTTCAATCTATTGGGTCTTGACCAGATCACATAATTAAAAATGTTCGATCACCCATTTAATCTTATTTGTAATCCATTTTCAAAGATGTTCGACAGGTCATCTAACATTATTTGCAACCAAATATCTTCATCTCCTCATATGATGCACAAATGGTGACAGAAATTTTCTTATGATATTCAGAATGATCACAAGGTGGTGTGGTGAGTGCTACTTATATTGATATAAGTAGTATATTATGCGAGTCAGGAATCTAATGTCTGGCAGCAGAAGATGGGGGAAGATCAAGAAAGCAAGAGCGGGAATAGAATGCAATTTGTATGAAAATGCAAGAACAATGAAGTCTGAAGCATTTTGAAACAAGTGATGGACATTATGGAAATTAACGATTTGATATATGGTTCCCAGATTTTATTGAGATACTCTGTAATTTTGTGTTAAATACATTCGATTGTCCCCACCCGTGTTCTTGTTCACTACAATGGTACGACCGAGAAAACCGCCAGTAATAACCCTCAATTTAGCCTCACCTACGGTTGTCCCCCTGTTGAGTCAATGTTTGGGACGAAGACCAGATTATAGATCCACGGTGAAGAGGCCCCCAAATGCCCTGGTACGGCCGAGAGTGGGGAGAGTCCACGGTGAAGAGAATTGAACGTTAGTCTCTTAATGTGTTACCAGTGTACATAAGGAGCTTTCAACAATGGGGACCTACGTGGATAGCCGGTGTCATCGTAAGACGAGTCGGTGACGTGATGTACGCAATATGAGATAGACGATTAAATCCGAAAAACAATCTCCTAGCTTGAACTTGTGACTGGATTATTTAATTGATACGGTTGGTCTGGAGCGGCAAGATCAGCGCAGAAGAATTGATATCCAGACCCCAAGGAGATTGTCAAGACGACATTTACCTCAACGCTTTCAATTAAATCCAATGATTTATGTTTCAGGAGGGAAAGGTGATATGGTATGCCAATAAGAAGTAGCCTAATGAGGTCAAAAGATGACAATCAGAAGTGACTTAAAGGTCAAGTGCATTTCATTGACTCAGAAATGAATCAATGTAAATGAGTATCTGTGCACTTTGTTCGACAGCCCATGATACTTCTTTGCTCACTCTTGTGTTCTCGCTCAAGTAGTTGGTTGAGGGATTAGCGCGTAGCACACCGTGTATCAGTGTCAGTATTTGAACACTGCCCGTCATGACAATATTATTTTTCTAAAAAATGTAGGAATCACTCGTAGAAATAAGCGTTAATCACTAGAAGCCTATCCAGTTGAAAGTTGCAATACAAACAAGATTAACTCTTAAGTGATGAGTTAGACCGTGGTAAAATCGAAGTGTAGGAAACAATATATTTTATAACATGAACTAAACCAATTTGAAGAAATATTCTCATAACCTACAATTGACCTTTTAATTGGAAGCATGTAAAACACTGTTTCAACTGAGCATGACACAAATCTAGGATAATCAAATACGAAAATTAATTCTATTGTATTCACCACTAATTAATCCGTGAAGTAATTTTTTGTAGAACGGCCACTACTAAAAGGATTAATAACATACTACATCACGAATAACTTAACGGTTTCTAGACGGCCATTAACACGCCAGTAGCTTTTCAAGGGCTTATGTCGTTCCCAAAACCGGTTAAAGGAGGAGGGTTGTACATGGGTCAGTAACCACAATTCCGTAGAAAACAACATTACTAAAACAAATCTAACCAAAAACAAACAATTTAAACTCTGCCGATATAAGTTGGAAGATCTTCATTTAGAAAAACTAAGACACTTCTTGATGAAAGCCAAGATTCTTCGGAAGTCACGAGGCCTGTAACCCTTCTAACAACCACAACAACTAATACACGAACATGCAATGTCCACACAATGTGAGAGACCTGGAGGACCAACCGATAGCTACAGAAACGAGCAGATTCAACTTCACCGTGCTACAAATAAGCAAAATCCATTGGATCCAAGCTCGACAGAAAAGGTTGCATTCGAGAGAAACGTTGTTGTATTCTGACCACGAAGAAGAAAATGCGCCGCACACTCACAGAGTCGCTTTGATCCTGCCCAAACGAAAACGTGAAGTCTTTATAGGATGGAAATCTCATAGACCCAGAATCATCATAGCATCCTTTAAAACAAAGAAGGAGGGAATCACAATGAATGTTATCCAGTGTTATACATTCACCAATGATAGCAACGCATCCAATAAACATAAGTTTTATGAGAGGCTGCAATCGATCATAGAGAAGTGCTCAGATTAAGACCTAAAAACCCTCACACGAGATCTAAACGCCAAAGTCGAAATGGACAACAACAGGTATCAGGATATCATGAGACGACATGAACGGACTGGAATAAAGGAACTAGAATGGTGAGACTCGCAAAATCATGTGCATTCAACAAAGTGGTTGTAGGTCGTTAGTCAGTCAGTAACAACGTAGAACTTCGTTCGTACGTACGTACATCAGTTCGAGTTGCCACACCACCTTAACATAGAGATGCAGTTGTCGATCCAAATCCCGTAGTGGTAGAGGTTGCAAGAGTGTAAGCAGTAATCGGGAAGATTAGGGTTTGGAGATGTTATTTAAAGAGTATAATTCAGTGAAATAAATTTGGAAAGAGGAAAAAAGGGACATGGAGAATTCAGAAGATTAGAATTTGGGAGAACACAAAGAGTGGATGCACCTGCGCCATTGCAAACGATTTTGAGCCATGTCATTCAGGGTCTCTAACCATCGGTTGCTATCATCTCGCGGTCCCCAACCAGCCAGTCTACACCTACCGACATGACTCAGACCACTTGTCAGTGACTTCATGGACTTGTCCCATGTTTTGGTCTGGCCGCCCCTAGCTTTCTTCCAACCTACTCCTATACAACAAAACATCGCACGTCGAGGCAGTCGATCGTTGGGCATACGTAACACGTGTCCCAGCCATCTCAACTGATGAAGTTTCACTACTTCATCAATTGATTTGCCATCCTTACCTAGTATCCGTTTCCTAACAACTGTGTTACTTACTCGATGGTCCCATGGTATACGAGCAATGTCTCGAAGACACCTATGATCGAATATTAGTAACCTACGAATATCCTCTACAATATTTTCACAAACGCATAAACAGAGCTACATATGTCCCACCAAATCACACTACACGGAATAGGATCGATCATATTTGCATCAATAAAAAATTCACAAGGTCAATGGAGGACATGAGAATCAGGAGAGGAGTTGACACAGATACATGTCATCAAAAAACACTAGACAACGAGGAAAACAGCACTACAAAGGTTCAACACAGCCTTCCTTCGACACATTGACAAACTACTCAACCAATTCAAGACAACTCTCAACAACACGTTCCAAGCCTTACAAGATCAACTCAAGGAAGAAGAAACTACTATGGAGGAAAATTGCAAACGGATCAAAGAAGCGCTAGCTTCAACATGTCAGAAGGTTCTGAGCCGCAAGAAGCATCATCATATGGAATGCATCTCTATCGAAACCCTGCACAAGATTCAAGAAAAGAACTACAAGATAGCAATTAACAACAACAGAGAAGATAAGGGCAGAAGCTGAATACACAAAAGCAAATAAACAAGTAAAGTGGAGCCTAAGAGCAGACAAACAGAAATACACCGAATTATCAACAACAGTGGAAGAAGCTGCAACAGAGAAAAATATCAAACAACTATATGATACAACAAAGAAAATGGTAAGAAAATATTGTAAACCAGAAAGACCGGTCAATGACAAACAAGAGAAACCAATCACTGAAATTTAAGAACAGAGGAAGAGATGGGTGGAACACTGAAAGGACTCTTTAATAAGGCAGCTCCATTGAATAAATTGGACATCGAATCAGCACACAGACTTTAATATGGATGTCACTTCACCAATGATCGAATAAATGAGCATGGTCATCAGATAAACCTAGAAAAGGGTAAGCAGCAGCACCTGACAATATACCAGCCGAAGAACCCAAATCATACATACAAGCAACTGAAAACATG